AAGCTTTAATAAATTTTATTTATTATTCAATTCCTAATATTTCTTTTTCGTATGATAAAAAGTATAACAATCACCTACGTGTAATGGTACACCACAAGTTTTGCAAATATATCAGGTTTCGCTCCGTTTTCCTTTCGAAGAATTTGGTCATCGTTGAAATTTTTTTTACAACTAAGAACGAAACTTGGCTGGTCTTATAAGCGAGACACAACTTGAGGTATGCAGACCAAATAATTACACTACAAGATTTCGCCGTGAAAACTATAAAGATGCGGAAAAAAGCTTATCACGAGTTTACTTGTGACCGGTCACCAACGCTTGGCCACAAACACGAGTTAACTTGTGACCGGTCAGCAATGTGTTAAGAGGAATCTACGCTTTAGTTACAGCTAGTAACAATGAAACTGAGACAGCTCGAACTGACTATTGATTCTGTTATTATTTTCTGTTACAGCTGTACGGATTTGCTGAACTACCAGAGGAACCGGAAGATCCATTGTCCACGTTCCTGAAGAGAGCCGAGTGTTATCGCGGCCCGATTCCAGAGAAGAGAGTCCATCCTAGTACCATTAAATTAAACATAACCGGGCCGCATTCCGTGCAATCGAACCCTGGGTATTCGAGGAAAATCGACGGGACTTTTTACAATATTTAAACGACGGTCTGAACATACGAAAGCCCCGCGCATATTTGATAAAGGAAAGCTCCCGAAGTAAAACTAATATACCGACAATTTTATTCTGCTAACAACTATTAAGTCGCGAGCCGGCCATCGAAATCGTGTGCTAACAGTCGATATATTTGAGAATAATTAATTAAAATCGACCATTATTCATTACCTACGTCGATCCTACGTTTCGCTATATTTATTAACAGGCTTCCCACCGGATCGATTTTAATAATGAACTCATCAAGTTTGAACGTAATTTTTGTTAAATCCGCTATCTACTAATTGACTCTTTAGATATCAATTGTCCAAAGTCAAATTTCGAAGTGCGATAGAATCTTTCTTAAGTGATATCTGTGTAAGAACATTTCGCAACTCTATCAACGTTGTATCTGATGTTGAACGATCGTTATCTGATGCTATTTCACACAGGTGCAACGTTGGCGTAATGAGAATGATGCATTGTGATAAAACATGAAATACAAGGTGTGTAAATTAAGGACGTTTGTTAGGGTTTTAGAAGAAAAGCGGTGCGGGGAGTCTCCTATTCTTATACATTGTAAAAATCGAGTAATACCAACATCATATATTTAACATAACAACTATTCAAAAGCATTAAAAACATAAATAGATAACATACGTGAATAGTAAAATATTTAAAATTTATTCTTTGATTAAATATAATTTCTTTTATTAAGAAATTTCTAATAATATTCACATTGAAATTATGTAAAAATCTTAAAGAAACTTGGCAACAGCACGACTTAAGATAAATTAGTATTTGACAGTTGGCAATTGAGATTTTCAAATTGAAATTGCTTATTGTGAATCCGTACCTCAAAATGTCACAATTACGATTAAAAGGAAAATTTTCGAGCAAAAAAAAAAGATAAAACGTCTTCAACAAGTTGCTGAAATGGGAAGAAAAATTACTTAATTATAAATCAAATTGTAATCATTATTTCATTTATCCAACTTGCCACACTAATCATTATGTATCATAGTATCATTATCTAAAATTCGATAGTTCAAACCTACCGCCAAACTTACATCGCTTTACTAGTAAGCGATGTTGCGAAGTTTTAACGATCAACTGACACGAAAATTGTTTATTACGTTTTTATTAATAATTTTTAAATACAAATGAACGGTCAATTTCGTCAATCTTTCGTTAAACGATTTAAAAAATGTTAATATATCCAATGATAACATTTATTTTGTACTTGTACATTTAAAAAGTGCTTATTTCTTATAATAAACTGTGGTCTCCATAAGAATGCATGTTAAATTTCTAATATTCTCATACATTTTTCTGAATAATAAAACGGTAGAAAATTGTGAAAATGATAACAGTTCATTTTTTTTATTCCAAGAATAACATAATTTTTTCAGAATTTTTCAACATTTTCAAAATCTCTGACAAACATCCTTAAGTAATGAAGTGCGGTGTCCCAAAGAACTTATGTTGAGGGACACATCATTAAATAGTAATTCTATGGGAATAAAAAAATTGAAAAAAGTCAGTGTCATTACTTAATTTACACACCTTGTAAGAACATGATAAATTACGAAGGGAAATAGTAAGATTAATAATGATATGAAATCCGAGACGAAAGGGAACGGTGAAAGAGGTGGTCGGGAGACGTCGGGGCTCGAGAGAAAATTGCAAGAGGAAGGCGCGAGGAAGTTTCGTCGATGGGAGGGTGCAAGGGGAGTAAGTTGGCAGAAAATCGCGAGGGGGTCGGAGGTCAAATGGGGTGAAACAGGGGTATCGGAGATAGACGTTTCACGGGACACGAGGGCGGAGGAAGATAGACAACGCACGGGGGTGAAACATAAATGATATTTCGTGAGGAGCATATGCGTCGGGGGACGGATACGTATTCCAGGGGTCGACGCAAGGCGGAGGGTGGGCACCGAAAGACGGGAGGAGGGTCGGCGCTGGTTTATTGCAAACAAGGATTACGGAGGATAATGGGACCGAGAGTGAGTGGCCACGGGGGTGGTTTCGCCGGTGAGAACGCACTGACTCACGTTTCGCCATTACGGGTGGAGACAGTGCCGTATTTTAAGCGTCGCGCTCAACCCGAAGAAATCTCTGCCCGATACGTATTAACCCGTTCGCGTCACTTGACCGACGTTAAACCAGCAAAGGCGTATCGTGGCCAGCTCTCGATCCATCGAATGTGAGATCCGCCGTCAAGATTGCGCGGCAGCACTGTGTCAGATATCGAGTGAACAAATTTGTCGACACAAGGAAGAAACGATACCGATCGGTTGTCATCGTCATGATTTCTCGAAGGGTGCCGACGCGAAGGGTAGATCGACGATAACAGTCTCGATTTCCGTTCATCACGACGTCCCGTTCGGAACGATTAACGACGTTTTGTTACGAACGAAGAAAGGAATTTTGCGTGGAGATCCGCGGTCTAGTTGTTACACAGACGAGACAGGATCCCGATCGTGATTCCACGACCATAATTCCATCCTTATGGATTACGTCACGTCTACCAATGTTCGTTGCTTGGTTCCCTTTCTTTTATCCTCTGGCCACTAGCCGGTGAGGGTGGGTAGGCGCCGTTACACACGGGGTTAGACCGTGTACGTGTTCCAGGGGTCGAGGAGAAAATGGCATTCTCTCTTATAAGGTCGAATCCGAGGACGGTGGTACGTGGCAGCGGGAAAGAGGGTGAAACCGTGGGTGGTGGTAACCTAACCAGCCAATTATCTGGGTGACCGGTTTTATTTCTATTTAATTCCACGTTTCCTTCTTATTTCATTTACCTTCCCTTCACGGTCGTTTCCTTCTTACTCGACCCGCACAGCTCCAACACTAATTAACGAAACCCTCGATTTTATACTGTCCGCTCGCGACTAGTCATCATAATAATACACGACGATTCCCTCTCTTGAGGAGTCTTTAAAAATGATCGTCGTATTTGACATATTTTATACATATATTTTTTTAAAGAAAGAAGAAGAAGAAGAAGATGTGGCGTAAGGAAAGAAAGGAAAATACCCTATTGATTCCCAGGGATGAACTCGTTACTTCCGGTGAACTTGCCACCCGTTTTACTTGACTCGTTATATTTATCAGTACGGCGCACACATTGTCCGATATTACATGCTCGTGTCAAGCCCTTATCTTTCCTTTCACTCCCCTACGCTCTGCTCGTCGCCTACTTTATCCCACCGTCGACTCCGAAGACAAAGGCAAACGCGGAAACGAATAATTACAAAAGTCAACGTAGAACGCAATTTTCAAACGTTTCCTTCTTAATCGAATTTTATTATACACCAATACCTCGCTTTGCGTCGTTTCGTTTTGCATTTTTTCGAAGTTGCGTCGCTGCTTAATTAGTACTAATTTTCACTGTGCGTCGTTAGATTTTCGAGGTTGCGTTGTTTTCGGTTCGA